ATGCCAACCTATACCTATCCTCAGGTGACAACCCTGAAGGAAGTTTTAACTTAGAAACCTTTTCTTTGAATTTTTCCTTCAAGGTCTCAGCCGCTTGATGCACCGTGGATTCCAAGTGTGTGGGATCATAAGTAGTTTCGAAATAATTTTGAAAAGCTTTAATCTCTTTGGCGTGAGTGAACATACCTTTCTTGGATGGTACCTGCACATCGAATGCATCAGTTAGTTTCTGCTGAATAGTAAGAGTATTGAACATATAAGTCTGATAGAACTTTGTCCACCATTCCAGAAACCCCTTTGCTGTAAGGTGTGTAGGTTCGAAAGTTATTAGTTCAAACTGGGCGAAGCCTTGGTATTGTTCCTGCTGTAGTTTGGCTTCTCGTGCCTTGAAGGTTCGCCCAGAGGTGATGGCACTTTCCGTTTGAAATAGGGGTTCAGGAATTAGTTGGCACAAGCCAAACTGTCTCGAAACGAAGTTGGGCTGATAAGCAAAAAGGAAAATTTGATTCTTGGCAGGAGTAATTCTTGAAGAGATTAGTCTGGGTAGCAAAAAGGCTCTCCATACATCTTGAATTTCTTTGCTTTTGACAGCTTCTGAGAGAGCCATGGTGAACCATGAAGGTCCATGAGCCCTTGAAGCAAAAGGCACCATGGTCTCTTCGAACGTATGCCTCTTGGAGAATATCATGATATATTTTGAGAATAGAACTTTGAAGTCATCCTTATCATCGTTTGGGGTTAGTCTTCGCAGCCTAGTGCCTTCGATGATTCTATCCGCTATTTCAGGGTCTTGTTCAGCAATAGTATTGGCAGTTGATAATGAAGGTTCGAACATGGCATTTAGCCATAACTGAAGTAACCAGAAAGGGCCAGCTAGCAGGATATTCTTGGAGGTGTGAGATTTTAGACTCGAAACAGCTGACCTTAGACTTTCATAAAGATCAACTAATAGCAGTTCGCTTAAGCACACCCTCCGATTCTCATGCAAATCTCTAGCTAGAGGAATAAACCTACTGGCTACCTGTAGGGATCTGCTGCAAAAGACATACCTTGACAACCATAAGGTAAGGAAAGCAATGTGTTCTACATCCGACACATTGTCTCCTTCAGTGTGATAGTGGCTGATAAACTTTGAAAAACTAGCTAGCTTGACTTCGAAGTCGATAATACTCGAATGCTCTTCATTGTCAGGGATATATGTTTCCCCTATTGGTGATAGCCCAATAATGGCCGCTATGTCAAAAAAGGTAGGGGTAATCATTCCACCAGGGAGATGGAAAGTATTGTACGTATTGTCCTAGAAATATAGGGACGCGAATAACAATGGGTGGCTATAAGTAAAACCTGGTTTTGACAGTTTAATCAAGTTGTAGATACCTAATTCTTCCCATTGCTTGGATTTCTTAGCTTCTACCTTATTAAACCAGTTATGATAGGTTGTGTCGGAGATGGGGCAAGATCGAAACGGTTTGAAGTTACTCTTTACATAATCTAGCATGAAAGGGTCCTTAGGGGGAACGATTGGATTTTCTACGGTGGTTGAATCAGAAGACTCTATAGTCTTGGGGCTATCCATTTTATTAAACAGAGGTTTGAAATTATAGCAAACTGGAAAAAAATTTCTGGTGTCTTTTAAAATTTCAAAGACTGTAAGAGGGCCTATTAAAGCTAACCTCTTGCCAGCAGCGTTGGTAGGAATTAGTACCTGGGATGCATAAAGCATTTCTTTCTCTTTTGAGATCATCTGGGGAACAAGAACAGATTGACCTTGGTAGGTGCCAACCTTGCTTTCCATTGTGGTTCATGTGGTCTTTCCTTTCTTTTTGGAAACCTTTTTTAGTTGAGATGAAGTTGAAGAAGACATTGTTGGAAGAATGTTGGAAGTTTAGGGTTTCGGTGAGAAAAGAGGAAGAAAAGATTCAGAAAAGTGGGAAGAAAAGAAAAGACTAAGTTGATGGGTTTTTATAATGTGGAAGTTTAAGCATCCACTGAGTAAGATTATGATACGTGGTAGTCGTGGGTTGGTTTGATGAAGAGGTGGCGTAAAGTTAATATTGGTAATAGGCGTGATTAAAGATAATCATTGTTTTGTAATTGCACCATGCTGTGAAATGGTTCAAGGCGGTTAAGGAATCTGAAAAGCGTTGTGATTGACGTGACTGGAGTCATATGCAATAAATGTTACGATGATTCGAAGGTCGCATCAAAATCTTGTGTATATGTTTAAAATAAGTATTTCTCAAAGGAATCGAAATACATATTTTAAAGGGGCATTTTGTTGGCTGAAGATTTTGATGATATTATTAGAAGCAAAGTAAATTGGACGTTTCGATTGAAATGAAACAAAATGTCATGTTTCGAAATGGTAGAAGCAGTGTTTCAAATAGGCATATCAAAGTTTGGGGCTTCGAGTAACAGTTATGAGAATATATTCAAAGAAGTCTCGAAATGATAACAAGGTTGTGTCTAAGAAATGCGTTCGAAGCGAAGAAGTGCCAAAACATTTGAAATTCAAATGCAAGCGGGATGTTCGAAATTTGAAATATATGCGCTGGAGCATTCGAAGACGCGTGGAAGCAGGAGAAAGGCATTGCTCTGCATGTTCTGAACGTGGCAGAATCTTATAGCAAGACCGTTATGGTCGAAGTAGTATAAATAGAAGTCTTAGCATTAAGATTTCGTGTGTCATATCTATTGTACGAAAAACTCAGTAAACATTCAAATTACCACATGGCTAGGGAAACGAATGCACGAGCAATGTACGTATGATAACACCACATGTTTATGATTTAATGAAAACTCTTTATCATTTCCAGTACTTTCCTTTATCTTCATGTCAATACCATTTACAAGCTTTTGCATTTAAAATATTTTCATTCGAAGCCTTTTTACTGATGCCTTACATTTAAATGCTTTCTTTCCATTTTAAACACTTTACATTTCAGAAACTGTTGTACATTTCATGCCTTTATCTTCAAGTTTTTATCATTCGAACACCTTTTTTACTTAAAGTCATTTTACAGTCTTCTTGCATTCAAACGCTTTCTTCATATTTCGAATCTTTTACATTCCAGAGAATCTTTTACATTAACTGTTTTTATGCTTCGAAGTCATTTACTTGTCTTTTATGCAGTTTTTACATGTCTTTACAATTGACCTTCATTCATGCAATTTGGTTTTGCGCACATTTACTTGATCATGCCTTTAGATTTTAATAGAGTAATCGAAGTAAGTTAAGCACCTACACAACATTCTAAATACCAACCATGAATACCAGTTCGATCATGAGAGTTACCCTAACGACCAACACATCCTAGGATCAATCTAGTCGATCCTGCGAGTTACCAGAGAGATTGAATAACAGTCAGTAAGATTATTCGATAGTTTGGAGGATTAGCGGTTGTTTACCAGAAATCACTGTAAACACATATGCATCAACAACATGTCTTGTAATTCCCTGTTTTCTTCAACCAGAGTAATATGTGATACGCGGATCAATATTTAGCATGGTACAGATCGGTTAGTAACCCAGAAATGCACGTGTCTCATCTAAGGTATTTGGTTGACCCACGAACACAATGGGCACAATCCTCATTTTCCCAACAACAAACCCAATACACATTAACCTCCCTGACGATACAGATCCACAACCATCTGGTCACAATCACCATCACAATACGAATACACTCACGTGCCTCACACCCAACCACAATCACCACCTCAATACCAATACCCCATATGCCCCACACCCAACCACAATCTCAATCACAATACCAATACACACACATTTCTCACACACAATTCCAATCTTTTCCATATCCCAATATGGGCCCCTCAACATCTAACGTTAGCCCTGATCTGAGATTTTCTTAAGAATATGACTCAACCAGCCCAACTTATCATCAACCACCACATCACCAAAGCACCCAACATTCGCAAATCAAACACCTCAGGATTCATTTTCTTTCTATCCCATTACTCAAACGACCACTGCTATAGACCAATCATGGAACCCCACCCACCACCAAGACGACCAAACTTTGAGGGTATGGATAACCGATTGTACCAAAGCAGATCTTCCAAATATGGAGATCTGATCTATTTCATGAATTCAGAACACATTGACTTCGGTGAACCATCGACCCTACCACAACAGGAAACGCAACAAAACCAACCACGAGACAGGCGAAGACGCAGATGCAAAACCACAAATCATTACTGAGTTCTAGAGAACCACTAATCATTTTGTATTTTTTTATTATGTAATCATTTTGTATAAATAAAAAATCAAATTTTCATGAAGCTATATCGTTTACCTAATGTCCCACATTTAAAATAAAAAACTAAAAAAATTGGACTCCTTTGTACTAAGGCACCATCTCACATGGTTTATGCCACACTTTTAACACCTAGGCGCCAAGTGAGATGACACCTCCCTTTAATTTAAGGTGTAAGCGTTAAATGAGATAGTTCCTCCTTTGTTGAATTTTCTGAAACATAGTTATTTACTTAATTTTCTCTAAAACATGATTATTTGTGAAATTTTTTTTCAAAATCTAATTATCACAAAAAAAAAATTCAAAATCTATTTAAAGAAATCAAATAAATATAATAGATAGATGTAGATGCTCTTAAATTTCTTATTTGTCTGCCGATTGCCAAAGAGATATCTTACTTGATGTGTCTTTATCTATCCAACTGGAGATGTTCAATTATGGGAGAATCTTCTAACCAAAAAATCCCAGGTAAAAAACAACACTCAAACTTTTCTGGGATTTAAAATTCTAGCACTTGTAGTTTTAAAGTCCATTACAATTTACAGCAGATACCTAACTGGACCATTGCATTTACAAAAGTTGCACCAAACACGAGAAATATCAGGTGCATATATAATATACAACCAAAAAAAATCACAATATTGGTCGCGACAAAGTCAACACTGATCTATATAGACTGTGGACTATGGTCCAGCAGGAGGATAAGTGAAAACAAGCGGTGAATCAATTTTTCGCTCTTCTTAAGACCCTGTCAAAAATTGGATTCTCTACTAACTCTCTGGCAGACGGCCTCTTAACTGGATCACGATCAATCATGGCCTGAATAAATATCAAATCAAAACATCAGATTTATCATGTAATCAAAGCATATTGGCTGAACAAAAGGGAGCACAAAACATCACATAAACTTCGAAGTCTTTAAAATTTATTTTACAAAGTACAAGAAAATGTGTTACAAAGATGAATGTTCAAAAATATGTGAAAATATGCCTTGTAGAAGTATCATATCTTTCTAATCCGTGTTAGTGCGAAAAAATCCTTTGTGCAAATTACGAACTTTAAATGTGATAGTTGGTTGACTCAATCAATAAATTTGCAGCATTTTGTATAAAAATCAGTTTTTGAGATTTAGTACAACATGATCATCTGATAGGATACTGGTTTTGAGCATTAGCCCAATAGAAATGTCTAATAGAGAATCAGTTATAACTGCTTATGTCAGAAGGGGGAAGATAAGGACACCGATGGCAAGGGAGAATCCATTATGTGTATTTTCAGATAAAAACCTTTTGGGTTGGACAGAGTGAGAATATCTCACCTCTAAGGAGCACTTTGCTCTGGGATTATAGGGATTCTCTGTAATAGTTTTAATTTCAACCAATAATACATTTTCCCTTATCTAAATTTTGAATTTCTATCATTGATCCGACCTACCGGATCTCGAGACGGAGCCAGTGAATTGCTAATGTTGTGTAACTGCCTGAAACTACCGAAGAACAGCCGTATAACTGTCCGAAACTGCTGAATAATTGTCGAAAACTGCCGTATAACTACCGGAAACTGCTGGATACTGCCGGTTAAGTGTCGGAAACTGCGAATTAACTTCTGGATAAGTGTCGGTAACTGCAAGTTAATTGTCGGAAACTGCCAAATAACTGTCGGTACGGACGGAAACTGCAGGCTTCTCGAGGGGAGCCAGCATTCATTTCATTCAAGATGATTGAAGAAGAAAGAAGTGCGGAGTGAGTGCGAGAATTGATGTGATAGAAACAAGAATGGGAATATTGGAAGAATCTCCCCAATCCTGTGTCAGAGTTTCGTCAATTGCTGAAAGCGAAGATGGCGAAGCATTTAGGGTATGTTCCCACAGAAAACATTGGTTCTGTTTGGGACATGTTGCCGGTAACAGATGTGTTAGAGAACCATCGAAAAACTGTGTTCCAAACAGAGGTGATACCGAAAAAGGAAGATGCAGAGGAGGCGAAGAAACAAGTCACGCAACCAGACAACACAAGGGAGGAACAAGTTGTGCACAACTTGCAACTTTTGTTGAGTATGCCGCTATGAAATCCACTCCCAACGATCCTTCTTGAATTGAAACCGCAGAACAGTGGTCCATTTATGGTGGATCTTCCTTGGTGCTTGTTACCTCCATTAATCGTCCAAAGGTCAGCATTAGAGAAGACTACGAACGAAGCACAATGGAAGTCCATATCTGCAGATACAACTAGGCTAAAAGAAATAGATTTACAAGGTACGGGCCCTCTACAATTGGCAGCGGCTATCCTCCTTCCGATTGGGAACAAAATCATCTCAACTCAGTCCCTTTGTTTCAAAGCGAAACAGAATCAAGTAGTGGGTACAAGACGAAATCAAGCTTTAGAGGTTTCTTTCAAGCTTCAAGAGTTTGTATCGCAATGGCACTTGCCTATCGTCCTAGCTACTCCCTTTCTGTCCATTGTCCATTGTAACAGTAGCTGTCTTGTTGAAATCGTTCATGCAGTCTTTGGTGACTTGCAAGCTGCTCATGTCAGGGTTACAAAAGTAGCTAGAAATCATCAAATTTACTCAAACTATTGAATGTATAAGTAGCTTTACTGTTATTCCCTTGACTAGCAACTGTTAGTTAACAGTATGCCCTAACCTGTAATAGCAGGTTATCCTTGATGCTGTATATAAAGCATCAAGGAGCCTTTTTGTAACCAACTGAAAAATCAGAAAAACAGAATAATAGAATTATATTACAGATGAATACTCTCTTCTTCTCATTCTTCTTTTCTAATATGGTATCAGACTGCTGAGTCGATCCATGGCTTCGCCTGCTTCGCAATCGCCTCCGCCTTCCGCTATGGTCTCGCCTAGTTCGGCTGAACAAACGCCGTCTCCGGCGCCGATAATGGAGGATTCTCGCCGCCTGCACTTCTTGCTCAAGATTGCGCAGAAGCTGGATGAAAAGAACTTCCATCTCTGGCGACAACAGGTAGAACCTTACATTAACGCGCACGATCTCACCGATCTGGTAGTTTGCACTCGTGTTCCAGCAAAATTCATTGATGATGCTGCTCGTCGTTCTGGCTCTATCAATCCAGCGTACTCTCGCTGGATTCAAAAGGACCAAATGTTGTTGTCCTGGATTCAATCAACGCTTTCCAGTGAAATTCCCTCACGCGTGCTTGGCTATCACCATTCTCATGAACTGTGGGATCGTCTCTTCAGCTATTTTCAGAAACAGACTCGTGCTAGGGCACGCCAACTGTGTGTTGAATTGTGTGCACTCACACTGGATACTCTTTCTGTTCAAGACTACTTACTGAGGATTCGCACCATTGTTGATGTGCTTGCATCCATTGGTGATCCTATTCCAGTGTCACATCATATTGATGTAATTCTTGAGGGCTTACCAGCTGAATTTACTCCAGTTGTGTCTGTTGTTGAAAGCAAATTTGGAGTAATGGACATTGATGAGGTTGAAATTCTTCTGGTGGCTCATGAACTGCGCTTGAACAAGTTCAAGAAGCAGCCAATTCCAGATCTGGTTTCTCTCAACCTAACGCATGTTGTGGCTCAACCATCAACAACAGATGAATCTCCAACTCCTGTCATTGATTCTTCCTCTGCTCACAGTGGTCAGCCTAATCAAGTGCAGGATTATCAACCTTTTAGAAGGGGAAAAGGTCATCGTGGTGGTAGATTTGGCCGTAGCAGAGGTGGCAGATTCTCCAATTCTAATGTCCAGTGCCAAGTCTACTCCAAACCTGGTCATTCTGCCCTGCAGTGCTGGCATAGGTTCAACTATCAGTTTCAAGCTGCTGGTGCAAACTATGTGCGACCTCCTTGGCAGGGTGCTCATGCCTACTACACAGACACCTTCTTAAGCCTCTCCTTATGTGTGGACCAGGCCTCCTGCTATGCCTTCTTACTCTTCTGCTGTTACACCACCTCCAAGCACCTTTGTGGCTAATGTTTCTCCATCTCCACCTGGCTCCTGGTTTCCTGATTCTGGCGCCTCATACCATGTCACTAGTGATGCAAAGAACTTATAACATGTGACTCCCTTTGAAGGCAATAATCAAATTTACATTGGTAATGGACAAGGTTTGACTATTCAGTCTGCTGGCTCAAACTCTTTCCCTTCTCCTTTTCATCCTACCACACACCTCACTCTCAAGAACTTACTTCATGTTCCTGCTATCACTAAGAATCTGCTTAGTGTCAGTCAGTTTTCTAAGGATAACCATGTGTATTTTTTATTCTCAGTTGACAAGTGCCTTGTTAAATGTCAGGTGTCTAATGCCACTCTTCTTGAAGGTCATGTAGGAGCTGATGGACTCTATGAGTTTCCTTATGTTGATGTGTCCCAACCTGCTAAGTCCCTACTGCATTCTTCTAATTTCTCTTCCAATAATGCTGCACCTAGTGCTAATATTGTATCTTGTTCTAATAGGTTGCCTTACATGTGGCATCTTAGGTTAGGACATCCTAACAATCATGCTCTCAAACTTGTTTTGCAAAACTGTAATGTTCAGTTCAGTAATAAAAATTGTGATATGTTCTGTTCTGCTTGCTGTATGGGTAAATCTCACAGGTTACATGCTCCCACTTCACACACAGTTTACACAAAACCTCTTGAACTTGTTTATACTGACCTATGGGGGCCCTCACCCAAGGCTTCTGCATCTGGTTTCTTGTATTACATGTCCTTTGTGGATGCTTATTCCAAGTTTACTTGGATCTATCTCCTTAAAGCTAAATCTGAAGCTGTTTCTGTTTTTCAAAAGTTTAAAGCATTGGTTGAACTGCAACTTGAGGCACGAATTAAAGTTGTTCAGTCTGACTGGGGGGTGAATTCAGGCCATTTACTAAATATCTAACTGAGATGGGCATTCATCATCGTCTTATCTGTCCACACACACACCATCAGAATGGTGTCATTGAAAGAAAACACAGGCACATAGTGGACTTAAGGCTTACTTTGCTTAGTCATGCTTCCCTTCCCCTTACATATTGGGACTATGCTTTCTCCACTGTTGTATATCTTATTAACAGGCTGCTGTCTGCTTCCATTCACTTTGAAGTTCCTTACACTCTTCTCTTTCATCAACAACCTGATTACAAGTTTCTGAAAGTTTTTGGGTGTGCTTGTTTTCCTCTCTTGAGACCTTATCTTTCTCATAAACTTAATTTCAGATCTCAAGAATGCCTCTTTCTTGGATATTCTACCTCTCACAAAGGTTATAGGTGCCTGGCTCCTACTGGCAGGTTATACATCTCCAAGGATGTTCTCTTTAATGAGTCTAGGTTTCCTTATCTAGACTTATTTTCCAGACCCAGTGATATCAATGATACTTCCAGCCCCAGTACATCCTTGGCACCCCATCACTCTAGTCCTCTTTTGAGTGCTCTTACTCCTCACATCACTTCCTTACAATCTCATATCCCTAATTCTTCAAATGTTCCTCTTCCTGCCTCTCCCACTACCTCCTATGTTCCTGCTCCCATTTGTGTCCCTCCTAGCCCTAAGGATTCATCCTCAACTGGTAGTTCTGCAACTTTTTCACCAATTAATGCCAGCAACTCCCCAGGGCCACTTTCATCTTTCTCTAGTCCTGCTGACTCCCCATTCAGCTCATCTTCAAACACTGCTTCTGCACCTTTTGTTCCCCCTAATGCTATTCCAGTGCCTGTTATCCCTCAAAACTTTCATCCTATGATTACTAGGGCCAAGTCTAGCTTTTCTCAGCCTAGACTGGATCCTAGGGTGCTTCTCACTCACTCTGAGCCTAAATCTGTTAAACAGGCCATTGCTGATGTGCATTGGAAGGGAGCCATGCAAGATGAATTTGATGCCTTACAGAAAAATGCCACATGGTCCCTTGTGCCTTAACCTCCTCACAAAAATGTTATTGGCTGCAAGTGGGTGTTCAGGCTCAAAGAAAATCCTGATGGCACCATCAACAGATACAAGGCCAGGTTGGTAGCTAAAGGTTTTCATCAGAGGCATGGGCTGGACTTTACTGAAACTTTTTCCCCTGTTGTAAAGCCTGTTACTATCAGGGTTATTCTCACCATTGCCATTACCCACAGGTGGTCTATTCAGCAGTTGGATGTAAATAATGCCTTCCTTAATGGTCTCCTTACTGAAGAAGTTTACATGGAACAGCCTCCAGGGTTTGTTCACCCTGACTCTTCTCTGGTGTGTAAACTCAATAAGGCTTTGTATGGCCTGAAACAGGCTCCAAGGCAGTGGTTTGGGAGACTGCAAACAACTCTTCTCAAGCTCAATTTTAAAGCCAGCAAGTGTGATCCCTCTCTCTTCACCTACTTCTCCAAAGGACACTCCCTTTATCTACTTGTTTATGTGGATGATATTATCCTCACAGGTAGCTCCACTACTCTTCTCCAAGAGGTCATTCAAAAGCTTAACTCTGTTTTCTCTCTCAAGCACCTTAGGGATCTTGACTATTTTCTAGGCATTGAGGTTAAGCAGTCAGCTAATGGCTCTATGCTCCTCACACAAACTAAGTATCTCAGAGATTTGCTGCACAAAACCAACATGTTAGAAGCTTGCTTTGTCAGCACTCCCATGCAATCCACCTGCAAACTCACCAAAACTGGGTCTGCAGCCTTTTCTGATCCTTTTCTGTACAGGTCTGTGGTTGGTGCCTTGCAGTATGCCACCATCACCAGACCAGATTTGACCTATGCTGTTAACAAAGTATGTCAGTTTATGTCACATCCTCTTGATTCTCACTGGCAAGCTGTCAAAAGGATTCTCAGATATTTGAAAGGCACTCTACATCATGGTTTATCTCTCACTCCTCTTTCCCCTCAGGTTGTTCCCTCTCTGCATGTCTACTGTGATGTTGATTGGGCTTCAGATCCAGATGACAGGCACAGTACATCTAGTGAGTTAACAGTATGCCATAACCTGTAATAGCAGGTTACCCTTGATGTTGTATATAAAGCATCAAGGAGCCTTTTTGTAACCAACTGAAAAATCAGAATAACAGAATTCTGTTACAGATGAATACTCTCTTCTTCTCATTCTTCTTTTCTAATACAAACCATTTTTCTTATCTCAGCCTTGAGGACAAGGCTATTTTTCTTGAGGTCGGAAGTGATAGGATACTGATTTTGGGCCTTACCCAATAGAACGGCCTAATAGGGATCAGTTATAACTGCTTATGTCAGAAGGGGGAGGGTAGTTATATAAGGACACCGATAGCAAGGGAGAATTCATTATGTGTATTTTCGGATAGAAACCTTTTGGGCTGGGCAGAGTGAGAATATCTCTCCTCTGAGGAGCACTTTGCTCTGGGAATATAGGGATTCATCTATGTAGTAGTTTTAATTTCAATCAATAATACGTTTTCCATTTATCTAAATTTTGAGTTTCTGTCATTATCTTTCACTAAATCATAACACAGATGTAAAACTACAGTAGTAGGTTACAAATATTAACAACGATCAAAACAACGTATAGAGACAACAGAATCATAGTTCATTTTTATAAATATTTGTCTAGTTTGTTAAGTAGCTTCTACAAACCACACATTTGATGTCATAGTCGTGCATAATGCATTATGCAGCACTGCATTAGCTAAACATGCAAACAGTGAGAGAGTGGGGGAAAACATAGAGAAGAGACAGCAGTTTAATAATTCATAAAATGAGACACACACTCCATGCAATTACAGGGAAGTAACAATGTGTGGTACCTTGAGCAAGTTTTGAAATTGCATTGTATTGCTGGGAAGGAGTGACAACTTGCCCTCTTTTAGATTTGAAAAATGACATCGTGATTCTGGCAAAGGTGATTTTCGAACAAGCTCATAAATAGAAGCTCCCAGCGAGAAAATATCAACCTTGTCAAGGTGATCATATTTCTCATTAAGGATTTCCTGGGGCATATAACGGGCATCTCCTTCCTCGATTGGAAGGCTATTATCAATAAGAGTTGCACATCCAAAATCACCAAGCTTATAAACACCATTTTTAACATAAATATTATCAGGCTTAACATCAAGATGAACTATTCCCTTCTCGTGTATAAATCGCAGTGCATTGGCAATCTGTCCAAATTTTCACATCAATCAATCAAAACAAACAATGTATGAACAAAGAATAAAAGCTCAACAGATTATGTAAAAATATATGCATCAGAGTCACACCAGGAAATTCACCTGATATAAAACTTCTAAGAGTTGTCCTTCTGATAATAACTCAGAGCCTTTGTATTTGGATAAGCTATGATCACATATCTCCATCTGAATGTACAGCTGTTCACTTTCAAACCATGAAGAATAATACCCCACAATGTTCTCATGAGAACCTATAGAGACAAGAACATAAATGAAATTAAGAAGAAAAAAAATGAAGTACAAGAAAACAAAAGAGGGGGCCATAAAATACAAACCCAAGGCTGCCAAAGATTGAACTTCCATCAAAGCTTTTTTCCTTCAATGTCAGAAAATTATTGTTAGTGGCTAAACTCTGGAAGAGAAGAAACATCTATAGTATGAAAATTATTGTTACCTTTCTGTTTCCAGGTGTAACTGTCTAGTGCTGCGTTTCACAGCATACAAGCAGCCATCTATTCGCTTTAATACTTTAAAAACACAACTAAAGTTCCCTATGCCAATTTGCTGATAAGAGATGTAAAAGTTATACCCTGAAGTTGAGTGAAAGGAAGGCAATACCAATTCAAAACATTGATTAGAATGAAAATCATGGTACCTCAAGCTCTTCAAAATCGGTGCGATAGCGTGAAAGACCCTCATCGGATGTAAATTTAGGGAAGAACCCTACAATTATACCAATATGGAGTTAAAAAATTGAAATAGGAATGAATAAAATTTCAACTGACATCTTGCTCATTAAGATGACTTTTCCAGTATTTAATGAAAGAATTAGTAAAAAATTGACTACATAGATACCTGCACATTTGGATCTTTGGTTTGCAAAGGGATCTGTCTCCTTTTGTGAAACATCTTTTAAATAGGGGTTCCTATAGCAAGGAGGAGGCATAGCCCTGCAACGCAATGCAGCTGCAGATTGTGACACATAATTCTGGGGATTTGGCTTAACAGCTACTTTTAATTTATCAAGAGAAAATTCCTCTGCAAGAGATACTTCCTCTGAAACAGAGTCCTTATCAAGTTCCACATCTTGTTGATGGTCATTAAAAACGGGAGAGCTAAGAGACCTTGCGTAGACATCATCTATGAGAATGACAAATATTCATATGGATTAGAAAAATTGGGTAAATAAATATAGGCATTGAAAAAGATAGAAAAAAAAACTTGCAATAATTGTTTCCGTGTGGTGGGAAGTGAGAACCTCTGTAGTAGCATTCGATGTAGTATAAGAATGACTAAAGGAAGAGTGATAAAGAATAACACAGACTGTAACTACTAACTACACTCTACAGTGTTATCAAATTGCCCCACCATGGCCGCTATGGCGGATATACATGGCGGTTTTTGGGCTCGCCGCAATGGTAAATATCAGCCGCTATTGCGGGTTTTTCCGCCATAATCCGCAATAACGGCGCCACAATGCAGCCGCTATGGCGGGATTTTGGCTCTCCGCCATGGACCGCCATGGACAACACTGCACTCTACAATGCTCTTACACTTTCGCCAGATATATTGATACTTTTATTCAAAAACTCGGTAGAGTACAGACAACCCATAACAACTCCCACCCTCCTGTTAGATATGTATAATCTAGAGATATTTCATAAAAATGATATCGATTTTGTTTTGTGGCAATTCAATTGTCTACAAACAATATAAATTGCGTTCATGCAATCGAAAATTGGAGAATTACTCAGAAACTACATATATCAGGTATTCTAAAAATGCCATTATGTAAAATTTGAAGGTGACATGAGTATAGAATAACCAGATGCTTTCAGAGCATTTAACAGTTAACACATATATTTGTTTATCTTAATTATGAATATAGTGCAAAACAAGTGATTCACTATCTCCACTACAATCTTTGCCACTATAAACTCCCTTAAGAATGACCTAATTTGCAAAAGTATACTTCTTTCATGCAATCCATACAGTGTACCACAAACATGGTGAATCAAGTTGTGCAGCTAAAAACAATCTCATTTCAATTCAATTCATACCTAGCCTACATCTCTTGTTTCTCGCTGTCGTCAATTTCTCCGGCGATCTAGGGCAAGGACTATTATCCTGCATAACAAATCACAAAAAAGAAATACATTTCAATTTATCAACACTGAACAAAATCAGTATCAATTCAGTGAATTCACTACTAAACAAACCTTATTGAATGTCAAACAGTTAAAAATCCGTTGATTCTCCGGCGTTAAATAATCAGGAGAACTGAAACAACAAAAAAACAAACACATGCATCAAAAACTTCGAATCAAAACACCGGAATCAAAGAAACGAAAGGCGATAAAGAGTTTGTTACCAAAATAAATCTTGACTGAGAATACAATCTCTGGAATCAGTTTCGGCAGCTTCGTTTGTATCCCTTACGGCGTTGGAAGGACAAGATGTTGTTGGTAAGGGCTTGTATTGATTGAGAGAGAATTTGCTGAAATGAAGCTGCAAAGTGTTTCTGCCATTTGATAGCTTTTTTCTTCCCCTAACTTTCGTAGGTTTTGGGGTTTTTCCCTTCATTTTTGAGTTTTTGAATCTGCGATTTGATCAAGAGGGAAATGAAGATGGTGGTGATGAATCGGAATAGAGTGCTTAATCTTCTGCTTCAATATATACTATATAAATAAATAGATGGAAATATATATAAATAAATTGTTTTGTGCAAGTGTATTTGAAAAATGCGCGGTTAATTTTCAATTTCAGGTTGGGATTGGATGTTGGGGAGTCTGTTTAATCGTGGCCGTTTATTTGTTTTTTTGATGGGGAAGAGATGATTTTTTTTTCTAATTTTATGTAATGCGTGCGTGCTGTGTAAGCTTATGAGTTTCTTTTCATTTGCAAATTGATTAATTAATTTTATGAAAAGTCAAGTGCGGTATGATGTGTCAAGCATGGTGCGCAGTGCGCACGTGACCATTTCTTATAGAATTGAGAACCTCATTTATTTTCTACTAATAATGCGTCGTACTGTTTTTTGTACTGTTTTTTTTAAACAATTGGTAAATGTATGGGATGTTTGCGGTGCGGTTTGGACGATTTTAAAGAAAAAAATTAGGCTTAAATGCAGTTTTGACCCCCCTAATTTAAAGTTTTTGGAGTTTCGATCCCCTAGTTTAAAAGCCAGGTTTCTAGTCCCCATAGTTTTCAAATTTGGGATTTTTGAAGCCCCCTCCATCTGGCTGCCCAAAAAGTTTTCAAATTTGGGATTTTTGAAGCCCCCTCCATGTGACATGGCACAGGGAGAGTAATGCCACGTATTATTTTCTTATTTCTTATTTAGAATAATATTTTTTAAACATTTAAATAAGTGATATTAATTTCCAAATGAATTTTTAATTTCATAATTCATATTTTCTGAAAATCCCAAATTGCTTAACCTAATTTCCTCTTCCATCCGCCCGTACGAGATTTCAAAAATCCCAAATTTGCAAACTTTTTGGGCAGCCAGATGGAGGGGGCTTCAAAAATCCCAAATTTGAAAACTATGGGGACTAGAAATCTGGCTTTTAAACTAGGGGGATCGAAACTCCAAAAACCTTAAACTAGGGGGTCAAAACTGCATTTAAGCCAAAAAATTATTTGAACCGTAAGAGAAAAAAATATGTGATTCAGTTTGGTTTGATTGATTAGGAAAAAAAATTCAAACCAAACCAATGCGATTTGAATTGACTCGATTTTGTTAAATGTATAAATGCATAACACATAATTACTCACATGCACTAACACTACCGTTGTTACAATTATCTTTCATATATTCTCACAATTTGACACTAATGTGAGTTTTTTCTTCTTGCACACAATTTGACAATAATTAAAATAGTATGCAATCAAATGCAACATTCAAAATAGTTGACATGAAAATAGTATTCAATACATAAATTAACCATCAAAGTAGTATTCAATCACTAATAATCAAAAGCATCAAATTAACCATCAAAGTAGTATTCATTTCAATACATAAATTAACCATCAAAATAGTATTCAAATGAAGGACTTTAAAGTCATCAAAAGCACTAATAATTTATTTCTTCTTGCTTCTTAGACTGAGCTGCCAAGTTGTAAATCACCTTCAAGCAATAACCTTCAAAACACAAATCAAGTTGCAAATAATTATAAATATTGGATTCCAAAACCTGCTACAAAAAATAAAACCATGTCATATAACACTATAAACAAAAACCAATTATAAACAAAACAAAAACAAAAACAATCTACTCCAAATAAAATATACCATTTTTTTCAAGCAAGTCTCTAATCAGTTTCAATATCAGATAGTCTCTCATTTACTTGTGGGATTGGAGCCATTTCTAAAAATGATCAAATATATTACCAAATGTTAGACAAAACAAACAATTGAATAAAATATATTCATAAACAAAGTTTACAACATATATCTTGTTCGAGTTTCTCCGAGTCTTCCAAGTGCTCTTCAATATCCACTTTTAAATGAGAGGATCTTAACCAATTTTGTGCATATATTAAAGCTTCAACATTATGGGGTGTAAGAGAGCTCCTATAACAACTAAGAACTCTACCCCCGGTGCTAAAAGTTGACTCTGAAGCAACTTTGGATATTGGCATAGCCAAGATATCTCTAGTTATTAAACCAAGAGTAGGGTATTTGGTGGAATTTATCTTCCACCAATTCAAGATGTCAAAATCCGGACTTTTCTTCTCCCTCATCTCCATGAGATACAAATCCACTTCATTTATATTTAAATTTGAATCTTGGTCCATGTCCTTCTCAAATTGATCATCCATATGATCAGAAGATGTAACAACTTCCGATAGCCCTATTTCTTATGCAATACTTTCGGCTTAGTCTTTACTTAAGAAAATACTATAACTTTCAAATATTTTATTTAATGTTTGTTTCACCTTATCACACAAAAAATCAGCAACTTCCTTCTCATAAAACTTATCCAATTCCCACCTAATAAATTGGAACTTACGCCAAGGATCAAAAATTACAACAATAAAGACTAGTATATTCATCTTTTTGACTTCTCCCCGATAAGTACTATATTTATCATCATAGCATTAGCCATATTTGTAAGTAATGGGTCATCTTTATGACATTACTTCCAAGTCTTTAATGTCCCCAATATCGTACAATGTTCCATGAAATAAGTAGAATATGTTACATAAGTAGAACCTGACATCTTTGTGGTAATTTTAAAAAACAACTTTAAGAATTTCACAAAACACTTGGCATTATCCCAATCCTTATTATTTTGGACACCATCTTCCAACATCGTATACTCAACGCATTTCTCACCTAATCTCTTAAATGCTTTTTGAAACTTCAATGCACTTTCAAGCATAAGTTACGTAGAGTTCCACCTAGTGGGACAATCATACTGCACAATAGACTTGTCTTGTATCCTAACTTCTTTAATACATGTCCTAAACCTATCTAAACGACCAGGTGACTGACGAACATACCGAACCGCTCGCCTAATTTTGGAAAGTAAATAATACATGTGCTTCAACTTCAACCCATCATTGACAACAAGGTTAAGAATGTGAGCACAACATCTAATATGTAAATGCTACCCTTTTAATGGATGTGAATTTCAATCCTCCATTCTATTTTTTAGGTAAGCGATAGCAACATCGTGTGAAGAAGCATTATCAATTGTGATGGTGAAAACCTTATCTATCATCCAACCCTCCAAACAATTTTCAATCTTTTTCCCAATTATCTCCCCCTTATGAGAAGTTATTAGACAAAAATTGAGAATCCTTTTATGCAACTTCCAGTCTTGATCAATGAAATGCGCAGTAAGAACCATATAATTAATATTTTGCACATAATTCCAAGCATCAATTGTTAGACAAACACTTTGATTTATTTTAGTAAACATGCTTCTTAACTTATATTTATCACTCACGTAAAGACTCAAACAATCCCTAGCAATTGAAATCCTTCTTGGAAGTGGGAACCTAGGTTGTGTAACACTCATAAAATGACGGAATCCTTCATTCTAACAAAAGAAGAAGGCAATTCATCCACGATTATTAGTCTAGCTAAAGTTTGTCTACACATTTCAACATCGAAGTGGATACCAACAAGTACATTAATATTTCCTTTAGAGACTTCTTGAAGGCTAAGAGTGGTTTGAATAGGATTAAGAACATGTTTGGGAATTTTTTTACATTGATGGATCAAATGGTTATTTAAATTCGAGGTTCCATTCTTATGTGAATCAGCCGCATAAGATTTCGTGCACCAATTACATTTAGCCCGCGTACCCGATTCATCTCTTGTAAAATGATCCCAAACCCAAGATTTAGGCCTATAATGTTTTTGTTTATCTAAGTCTCCAGCGCTAGAATCATCAGCTTTAGACTCATCCGCCTCTCCAACTTTCCTTTTCTTTTTGTGTTGAACATTGTTGCTTTCTTGTTTGTCCAAATCAATAGTTTGGGGTTTGTTTGTTGTAGGCATCAGTGGACTATTTTGAGACTGAAAATACATAATACATACACTATAAATATAACTACTTTATTATAGCCATTAAATAAGTTTCAATCAAGAACTTAACATTTATCAAATACACTCATTTATCATTATTTTACCTGATTTTCGGCCATGGAAAAGGAAGCATCAGAGCCAGCAACATAATTGACTTCTTTATCAATAGTCATATCTAAGAAATAGAGGAGACAATATATTAGAGAAAAGGAGATTGTGATATGGTGGGAAAGAACTGACTGTTTTTTGGAATGTTGGTTTGCGTTTTGCGTTTGTTTTTCGCAAAATGTCGTGGTAAGCAAGAGTCGCCACCGACTTTTATTTTATCCAACAAGGAAAGGAAAAAAGCACAGAAAAATTCCTTTTTCGAGATATTTCTCGGGTTTGGGGGGTAGATTATAGAAAGGGGAGGTGTTAGCACCCTTTCTATCCGTGGTTATCCACGGGCTCTTAGGTACTTTCTCATATTGTTTTCAAAATATTGCTTCCTTTGTGTTTGTGGGTTTGAAGAAGTTTTTGTTTGAAAGGTGTAAGTGTGAAAAAGATTTTATTTTTTGAAAGAGCAAGTACTTAAGAACCATCTACCTACTCGAAAAAGGAATCGTTCTATGCTATCTTCTTTTAGACAATGTTATCCTACTATTGATGAGTAGGTAGCACCGTCGTTGGAGTTTTAAGGGTCAATTCGATTTTAGGGACGTGCGGTCACTAAAGCAATGTTAGGATGCCTTAGCGGTAACCCTAATGTCTTAGATCATTTGTTTTGAGGCAACAATATCTGAGGCAACCGTTTCGAGGCGACTATGATCTTTGGACAAGAGGGAGACCTCTAAAACAACCTATACTCAATGACCGTGTTATGAAGGCAACCAAGTGAGGTGTACCCTAAGAGTGCGCATGTGCGAGTGTGTCATTTTCAGTTAATTTTTGTCTTTGTACATGTTAATGGTGATCTATGTTGATTTTAGGTTTAAACGCTCAATCTTGTCATGCATCCCTATTATCAAACATCTAACAATTATAAATTGAGGAAAATAAATTA